AATTATACTGATGCGTTTCAATAAATGGTAATTGTTCTGTGATGAATGAAACGCAGAGGCAGTGCATATGCTGTCTACTAGTCTATGTTTCTGTATTAATATTGAATCAGTGCTAATACAGCATATTTAGGAAGAATCACAAAACATAGGCCAGATCCTCAGTTGAAGTAAAATGGGATAGTGAAGTAATTGGAGCTGCATTGGTTTACACGCCATAGATGATCTAGCCTTCCATGTTTAAATTGAATACAAAGTATGAGACACCTGCATTCACTGGGGAGCTATATAGGCTGCACAATATTTTAGGATGTGCTGCGATTTAAGAAGACAGTGGGCTTTGGTAGGGCTCTGTGTGGGGGCAAGCAGAGTTCCATCTCCGGGGGGGTTCCTAGCAAGTGATGTTCAGAAAGCACCTCTGTTGCAATTGTATTTCAAAAGAGAAATCAGGCTGAGTGTATTAGGAAATGGCCACATGCAAGATCGCCATCCTGTGATAGCCGGCTCCTTGCATCCTAAGGAGTCACATCCTATTTGTCAGCTGCGAATCATCGGTACTTTGAGCTGGCTGAATCGTCAAGCAATGTGCAAAAAAAACGGCCTTTTGTTTATTGGGGCAGGTGGATTGAAGCTTTAGGTCACTAGCCTGAAAAAATCACTCCGATGGCAACCACTGGTCTCCTGTATGTTTGTATCGCACGCCTGACGGGAGCCATTTTCCTCTTGGAGTGGGAATGCTTGCTCCTGTTGGCTGTTGAGAGCCCGTGAACTTCCTGCATTGCAGAAACCTGAAGTATACTTGACAGATCCCTAAATGAACTTTGATTATGAACTGAGTTGGTCATTCAGGACCTGAATCCCCTCTGTCCCATGAAACCATATTTTTGCCATGCAGAGACAGTTGGGACTGGCCATCAGAGAGAGGACATTTCACCCATATCCCGTCCAACCAAGGTTCAAAATCAGCCTTGTGAATGAAAGCTTCACGCTGGTGGCTCAGTCACTCCAGTCCTCAGTGAGCAGGTCAACCAGCCACCAATGACAGAACTGGGTGCATTTGCTGACAGGGTAACCAGGGGCTCAGAGGGCACAGAGACAAAGGTGCCTTCTTAGCTCAAAAGGCCATCAGTAGGATTGGAGCTGTGCACGTGACGCCCTTCAGCCCTTCTCACAATCCCACTGTGTTTCTCCCAGTCAGGGCTAAAGGCAGAGGCTGGACGTAATGAGCCAAGCAGTTAGGAACAATAACAAAGCAAGGAGGGGCGGGGTGAAGAAAAGTGGCTTGTTTAACAGTACAAATGAGCCCAGCACCCAGAGGCCTGCCTCCCCCAGTGACTTGGGGTGTAGAGGTAAGGTGTTCAGCAAGCACACAAAAGGGCAGGCAACGGGAGGAGAGAAGAAATGTTGTTCCTGCAGCAAAAATGCCAGCTCTTAGCAAAGGCCTCCGCGGGTGGACTGTGGTTGTGGGTAAGGGAAGGAGGGTGCTGAAGTTAACAAAAAGGAAGGGGTCTGACCAGTTAGTGGCTTTGTCTCTAATGCTGATTAAATTCACTCAATGTTTTTTCCCTATTGCCTTGGTAGAGGGATGTGGGTTGAGGTTGGGCTCCCTCATTTCCCCCTGTTATATTGTTTCTTTTTCTTTGGTTATTTTTCCCCCCTGTGTGGGGACATTGGCTCCATCGGTTGGTTTTGGATTTCAGAGGCAGAAGGCAAGACATGACCAGCTGGTGTCTTGAACTGACACAGGTGCAAAGACAGCGGGGAGTGGAGAGCCAAGAATAATTACAGGTTTCTGAAGCATCAGGCCTTGCCTGAAAAGGGCTTGCTGAAAAACTGCTCTTTATGGAAAATTAATGGTGATGCTGAAAACCTGTCAGAACTACTATTGTTGTCATGGGGGTAGTTCTGTCTTAAAGGGACAGTGTCTCCCTGTTCCCTCTGCACAATGAGAGAGGACACAGCCTTTCCAATGTTAGCACAATTGAAATTTCATGTGACTGTCATTTGATTTAATGGCCTTGTGTCTCAGTCAGTGTCTCTTGGCTGGAACCTAAGATTATGCTATCCAGCTCTCTTTCTCTGGAGCTTTTTATTTATTAACCCCGAATCTCTGTTTCTCTCCCAAGGGACAGTGGGTAGCTGGCAGAGAAAGAGAAAATGAAACTAGCAGCAGCAGAACTGACAAACTTGTTTCTTTTGTTCTAAGGGGGGAGATTTGCAAAGGAGCCCACTTCATTCAAGGTCACTGGAGCTGGGTTTCCTGTGTGTGCCTTTTGAAAATCTACCCCAGCTACCTGTCATGATACATCTAGAGAGATGTGGGATCCCAAGTTGGATCCACTGCTTGCAATTCCAGATTCTAGCTTAAATAGAAAACAATCCTCCCCTTTTCTGAAGGGTGCTCTGCCTTCTTATTATCTAGCAACTGCGCCAATAGCCCAGAGACCGTGGCGTTTGTGGTCCAGTGCTGCAGATTCTACGTGTGATTCTGGTACCTCTGATTTCCCTGCTGAGAGAAGTGCAGAGCAGGACTGTGAATGACAGGCTTTTACAGTTGTGACTGGTGTCTGTAACTCCTTCAGGAAACAGTTGTTCATCATGTAGCTGATGAGCACAATGCTCTTTCATTAACAGTGTGCATTTCTGCTGCTGCTTGTCTGGTTTGTCAGTTAGGGTGAGTGAGTGAATGTTGACAGCTTGGGACTTTTCCTCAAAAGAAACCCTCTGCATTCATTTAAAGGGGGGCGGCCGCAGCAAAAAGCTTCTCTAACAATTACATGTTGCCAGAGAAGTGAGGCAACAGCAACATGTGATGCAGTTACAACTTGACCAAGTGTTTAATGCTGACTCCAGGAGGTTCGAGCCTTCTCTTCTGTGCAGGAAGCTGGGATAGCTCAGAGGATGAGATGGGCGGATGTTCTGGGGCTGACTTTGCAGTGTGCAGGCAGGAAATGGGGTGCCTTTTAAAGAAACTTACTGATGGAGCAGGGAGACAGATAAGCAGTTTCTTTGGACTCTTGAAACAGGACTGTCAGAGATAAAAACACATTAGACAGATCCTGGTCGTTTCACGTTCTTAGCATCTGTCTTGTACCACTTTTGTTTTCACAACATTATTCTTCAATTTTGAAAATTAGCAAGCTGGGGAGGAAACCTGAGAACCTAGTTTCAGCTCTTCCTGGCCTCTGAACTTGAAATACTAACTGAAACACGAAGGGATCATCTGCAGTCCCTTCAGTTCCTCGTGCCACATAGCACCTCCAATGGCAATAGAAATCCCCTCTCCCCCAGTGTATGCCAGGAGCTACTGTTTCACTCTCTACAGAGACAGGCGCCCTGAGGTCAGGGCAGTACCTGTCGCTTGAGAAATTTGGGTTCAGTCTCCTGTTGCACCATGAACCCCCATGTGTGGCACTGGGCAAGACATTTGGGGACTCTGTGCCTCAGTTGTGTATGTAATAAATAGGGATAACAGTACTTCCTTAACAAAGAGGGTAGTTGTAAGGAGAAATACATTAAAGATTGTGAGGTGCTCCTATACTAGTGTAATGCTGGCCTGGGAGCAGATAAATAGACCTGTAGAAATCACTGGTATCCACACAAGAAATTAGCCTCAGTTTCAACATCTAAGGTAGACGTACCAGTGTAGACAAAGAAAGCCTTTGTAGGGTTATTGTGATTCCTACGGGCACATGAAATGATTTATATGGGTGCAACTCCACTAGTGGTTCAGAGTGATGCTAATTCTTATAGACAAGACCTGAGAGAACTTTATGAATAACTGTGCTTTATTCTCTTCTGTTGACTTGTGCTCCTTGCCATCATACCTGATAGCAACCAAGATCAAAAGAAGTTTAGTTATTTCTGTGAAAACAGTGTATGCTCTTTTCAGAGCATCTTATGAGAACAGATGTTTTCTCAGGGTGCAGGATTTAACCTGAGGACATGATGTGCACTATCAAGCCTCACATACGATTAGCCAAGCCTATCTGCAATCAGTAATGAAAAAATGTGCAGTATTGCTATTTGAACAGTCACTAGAGTTAACGTCCAGTGAGAGGCCGGCACTGGGGCCAGGTTCTTGGCTCATGTAGATCAGTACCATCCATTGACTGCAGCAGAATTACATTGATTGGGGTCAGTTGAGCCTCTGGCTCAGCATTTCTGTCTACAGGCAGTCCCCGAGTTACTCGGATCCGACTTATGTCGGATCCGCAATTACGAACGGGGCTTTTCTCGCCCAGGAGGACAGGAGCAGCGGGACGCCCAGAGGCGCCGCGGTCCCGCCGCCCGCGTCCTCTGGGGCGAGAAAAGCTGCTCTGCATCTCCCTGGTCTGCTGGGGGGAGCCCTCCCCCCAGCAGCCCAGGGAGACGGGGAGCAAAGCCACCGAGGACACCGGCAGTGGGACAGCCGCAGCGCATCTGGGCTGTCCCGCTGCCCACGTGCTCTGTAGCTTTGCTCCGCGGCTTTGCTCCCCGTCTCCCCGGGCTGCTGGGGGGAGCCCTCCCCCCAGCAGCCCAGGGAGACGGGGAGCAAAGCCGCGGAGGACCCAGGCAGCTGGAGCAGCTGATCGTCAGCACAGCACGGCGGCCATTTTTATTTTAATGAAGCGGGGATTATTTAAATCCCCGCTTCTTTGACTATGCCGAGTAAAGTATTTTACATGGCTCCATCGACGGAGCCATGTAGTCTAGACGTACCCAAAGCTATTCCAAGGTTTGGCTTGGTAGAATAATTCCATGGGGAGGCAGATTAGTGGGCAAAGTGCAGTAAGGCAGTCAAAAAGTGCGCGGGACATTTTTCCTATGGCTCTGCAATTTATCACAATGTGGATTGCATCACAATGTAGTTGCAAAGCTTTGGTGTGCATAAATACTCTCTCTGAACTGTTCTGAACTCAGAAGTTACCATGCCTGGCCTCCTGCCCCAGCTGGGGGTTAATGCTGAGATGGATTTCTAATAATGGTTTCTTTCCCTCCCTCCCTTCCCATCCCCCCTGCAGACATGCCTTGAGTTGGAACGTTATCTTCAGACAGAACCAAGGAAGATCTCAGAGAACTTTGGTGAGGACTGGGACTGTTTTCTTCACACCTCTTCACCCCCAGTCTCAGAGGACAGTATCCGACGGCTGGACCCTATCCTGTTGCCAGTGGAGACAAGTACATGTGACAAAAGCACCAACATAGACCTTATCCTCTCACGGGACAAGCTGCTGTCTGAGACGTGCCTCAGTTTGCAGCCCACCAGCTCTTCCATAGAAGGTTACACCACTGTCAACCAGGCCCAACTCAATGCAGTGACCTCATTAACGCCTCCTTCCTCTCCTGAACTCAGCCGCCATCTGGTAAAAACCCCACAAACTCTCTCAGCCATGGATGGCACGGTAACATTGAAACTGGTGGCTAAGAAGGCGTCGTTCAGTTCAGTTAAGGTGGGAGTGGCGGCGGTGGCGGCAACAGGAGGCATGATAAAGAGTGGGCAAAATGACAGTGAGCAAGGTGGATCCGGGGCTGAGGCATCCCCAGAAAACAAGAAAAGGGTTCATCGCTGTCATTTTAATGGGTGCCGGAAGGTTTATACAAAGAGCTCCCACTTAAAGGCTCATCAGAGGACTCACACAGGTACTGGTGTAAGATGCCTCTCTCTCTCCTTGTTCTCCTGCCACCTAACCACTGTGGTCTCCTTTTGTTTCTCTTTTTAAAAAGGCTTCCTCTCTTCCCAAAAGAGAAAGCCTTCATCTATGAAATAGGAGCCTAGGTGGGAAAATGTTGTGGGCCTGCATCTATTTCTGAAGAGAAGGGGGCATTCATGGAAAGTAATAAAGTGATAGGGAATAGCCAGCATGGGTTTGTGAAGAACAAGTCATGCCAAACTAATCTGATAGCTTTCTTTGAAAAGATAACGAGCCTTGTGGATAAGGGAGAAGCGGTGGATGTCATATACCTAGACTTTAGTAAGGCATTTGATACGGTCTCGCATGATATTCTTATTGATAAACTAGGCAAATATAACTTAGATAGGGCCACGATAAGGTGGGTGCATAATTGGCTGGATAACCGTAGTCAGAGAGTTGTTGTTAACGGTTCTAAATCCTGCTGGAAAGGGATAACAAGTGGAGTTCCTCAAGGGTCTGTTTTGGGACCCGTACTATTCAATATCTTCATCAATGATGTAGATATTGGGATAGAGAGTACTCTTATTAAGTTTGCAGATGATACCAAACTGGGTGGGGTTGCAACTTCTTTGGAGGATAGGGACATAATTCAAAATGACCTTAGCAAGTTAGAGAAATGGTCAGAAGTAAACAGGATGAAGTTTAATAAAGAGAAATGCAAAGTGCTCCACTTAGGAAGGAACAATCAGTTCCATACATACAAGATGGGAAGCGACTGTCTAGGAAGGAGCATGGCGGAAAGGGATCTAGGGGTCATAGTGGACCACAAGTTGAATATGAGTCAACAGTGTGATGCTGTTGCAAAAAAAGCAAATATGATTCTAGGTTGTATCAACAGGTGCGTTGTAAGCAAAACTCGTGAAGTCATTCTGCCGCTCTATTCTGCACTAGTTAGGCCTCAGCTGGAGTACTGTGTCCAGTTCTGGGCGCCACATTTCAAGAAAGATGTGGAGAAATTGGAAAGGGTACAGAGAAGAGCGACAAGAATGATTAAAGGTTTAGAGAACATGACCTATGAAGCCAGGCTTCATGAACTGGGCTTGTTTAGTTTGGAAAAAAGAAGATTAAGGGGGGACATGATAGCGGTTTTCAAATATCTAAAAGGGTGTCACAAGGAGGAAGGCGAAAATTTGTTCCTCTTGGTTTCTGAGGACAGGACAAGGAGTAATGGGCTTAAAGTGCAGCAGGGGAGGTTTAGATTGGACATTAGGAAAAAATTCCTAACTGTCAGGGTGGTCAAATATTGGAATAAATTGCCAAGGGAGGTGGTGGAATCTCCCTCTCTGGAGATATTTAAGAACAGGTTAGATAGACATCTGTCAGGGATGGTGTAGACGGAGCTTGATCCTGCCTTGAGGGCGGGGGGCTGGACTCGATGACCTCTCGAGGTCCCTTCCAGTCCTATTATTCTATGATTCTATGGTCTACTTGTCTTACGTGTTGCAGGGATCTGCTTACCAGCTTTTGGTGCAGAATCAATGCAAGTTGCTTAAGGGAATAGGACATCCAATTTCCATTCAGATGGTTATTACTGAAATAAGAGATTTCTGTTCTCACAGGTGCCTTTTAAAATTTTAATTTTGGTCAGATCTTATTTGGTTTAAATGGAAAATATTGTAGGTGACTTCATTAAAAAAATCAAAGGATTGTATTCTAAATCTGAAGCATATGAGGGTGGATGAGTATTTGTGTTAAAAAGAAAACTGTCTAGATACACTCATAAACTACTGGCTCCATTTGGCTACTCCAGTGATGAATCTATCTTAGCTGTGTGTGTAGGTATGGAGATTAGGGGAAAGGAAATTAGGCTGTGTGGAGGGAGATTAGGTTGTCGTGTTGGGTAATATTTAATACCATTGTATGTAAGTTTGACTCTTTAAGATACTTGCAGCTACTCCACTCCAGATCTGGCAATTCAGAGCCCCCAATCCTTTGTCATTTTTTAATAATCCCCAGTAGTTTTTGGTTGGAGTGCTGACAATAAGAACTGTGAAACTGACTAGTGGCGCTTCTTTGTTCTAAGCATCACATGTGATAGGAGATGATAAATTCCCATTAGCACTATCTTATCATGTGATTATTCTTGTTTCCATGGGGATTGCTATAATCATTTTCTTCCATTTTACGTTAAAATGTGTGGTCTGTTACTCTAACTGCACATTTAATTCATGACTTTATCATACAAGCGGATTCTTAGATGCTAGGTTGACCCTGCAAGGTGAAAACAGCATGTCAGACCAGTGCAGTAAATCAAACAAATCTGTGGGGTGTTACGAGAGCTGCATCCATCTTACGCCCAGCAGCATTTAAGAAGTTACATGGCATAAAACACAAAGTATAATTTTAAAATGGAATTGGCTTTTATTATTTACATGGATATTCTAAATACTCCCAGTTGTGGGAGGCCTCTTGTCAAAAGTGACCTTGCTTGTGACCCGGCCAATGAGGGAGTAAGAGAAATGTTTTACTGTCTCTGGCCTTAGGCTCCATTTTGAAGACTGTCTTTGCAGTAAGACAGATACCGTCACTGCTATCAAATTATGAATTAAATGCCTTAAATGGAGAGAGTGCCCTTTGTGGTTCAGACAGGGGCCACGCTCTCCAATATCAAATTTGTTTCAAATTTGAAACCCTGATATCTATGGAACTGAAGCCGTTGTTGCTTCTGCTCTAAAACCAGAAGTGACATTTTCTGGATCCGCTTCAGATGTCTCACAAATTGGAAGAGAATGATACATTTCACAAGAAAGGCTGACCTCATGAAATTTTCATTATCAAGGCTTCAGGTGAGGTGGGCAGTGGGCGCAAATCTACTGATTTTGTGAAATTGTTGCTGTTTGGTGTCAAAATCTTGCAAGAACGACCTACCACATTTTTAAATGTCAAGTCCTCAACCTGGACTCCAAGATCTTAATATCATTGCCTTAGTCCATTTTTATTTCAAATGTTCTATAGTTTATAGGTGGCAAGAAGTGTTTCTCACTATGGCCCTCAATCTGAAAAGCCTTATTCTGAGACCTTTGCCTGTTCTGAGTAAAGGTCGTAGGCCAGAAATAGTCCTGTGGGCTTCAATAGTTGATATCCTGGATTGAAATGCCAGTCAGAGAACATACAGATACCAGAATAAGAGCACAGATTATTTCTTGGCTTTTGGAAGAGCTTTGATGTGGCTTCCCTGAGAGAAGCCAATGACAGAGATAGTTCAGAAAGCATGAAGAAGTCCCAGCTGTGGAACTTTCTCCACCATGATCTTGCTTCCGTTACAGCCCTAGTGGTGGGCCCAGCTACATCACTGCTGTCCCTTGGAGCAGTTTTAGAACACAGTTCTGTTGTGCCATCGAGACAGGACACCTCATTTTAAGAGCTATGTGAAAGCTCGGGCATGGTTTGAACCTTTGGTGCATTGTAACAGGATCTCTTGTTACCACTGCATGTGTAGGATGAGCAGGAGCTTAAAACTGATCACTCTGGCCAGCAAAGCTAGTGGTTCTAACCCCAGGAGAGAGTCAAAATGCTCCCCCAACACAGACAGTAAATGGTAGAGGGAGTGGCCTGAGAAATTCTGGAATATTGTGAATGGCTCAAGCTGCGACCTCTCAGGCCCCAGACCCAAGATGATAGAAAAGGAGCACTCATCTTGCTTGGGCCTTTGTTGTCGCACAGAGCCTTCTTGGCACTGCCCTTGGTATAATCTTGTTGTCAGTTGTGAATGCAGCTGAGTGTGCCAATGGCCAGTAGCCACTTGGCTCAGTCAGTAGCTGAACTAGACGGTCTGTCTGAAATGATTGCAAGATATGTTACTGTGGCTGGTATTGCTCGTGAGTGAGCTACAAGAGCCATTTGTCACTGGTCTGTGCAGAAAGGGCATGGTGGGGCTCACAAAGAGCTTTCTGTATGGGGCTCAGACTAGGGATGTGAATGGTTAACCCTGTCATTGTGAGGAAGGCTTGCATTCCTTTTTGCTCATATGTAATGCTGACTGGACACTTGCTTGGCTTCTTTAATATGTGACAATCCAAACTGAGCTAAACACACTACAAAATGATATACAGTGTGTTTATATAAAATAGTAACACTTAAAGATTTCTGGTTAGAATTAGGATTGCAACATGCAAAGAGCTGTACAGACTCCTATTATTCTGCTGCACCATGTGCAAGAGATTCAGGAGATTATTCTATGGTATACTTCATGCAACTTTTTTCCTATGAAACCATCAGGTTTTGGAAAGGGATGAACAAGTATCTGTATGGGAGTGAATTGAATTTGGAATTGAGAGAATAAGCTGAGCAAACCTGAAGGGAATGGGGAATATGGAGAAATAGGGAAATTAAAATGGAGGTTGACTGAAAGGGAGGAGGTAAGCCAAGCCATGGATAGGAAAAACCCAAGTAACAGAGAACTTTAAATGGCAGGAAAAGGTGAGCTGTGCATTGCGGAAAGATGTGCAGCTAATGCAGGAGTCAGGTGTGGAATCTAAATGGACTAAATGGAGTCGGGCTGGCTGCAGATACAATCCATCCTTAACAAATTCACTCACACTTAATCGCCTAGCAGACATTGGCACAAGAAACGACAGTTTGTCGCTGAGACACAGAGATTTTAGCTCAGCCTTAAGAAATGCTTGGAGCCAATAGAGCCAATATAGCAGGTAGCAGAGAGGGAGGTAATTGGAATGCTCCAAAAAAGTCCAGTCAGCATCTGCATACTGAATTAGAAGGCAGGCTGTTGCTGGCAAGGGTCTGGATGGTAAGACATCTAGCAGTGAGCTGGCACATGACCTAAAGAAGGGTTAGTCACCTCAATACATTTTGTCCCCAAGCACAAAGGCCAGTGGAACCGATTTATGTCTTCTGATGGGGCTGGTCATATTAGACTTCTTTGTACTAATGTTGGGTGAAATGGGGAATATAATGGGCTGGAGACTTTCTGGCCAAAAATAAACTCCA